AGCATTAGCTGTACTGCTTCTAGGAAGCTGTTAATCATGACACAAGAATGGTTTTCCCGCATCTGGGGAGACTTGCACTTTTAGGGATGGCTTTGTTGGCAACTGTTTACTATTACGATAATCACAGCATTATGAGGAAGAAGCATTAAAGTTCTTTCCAGTGACCTTTCTGCTGGCCATCAATTGTGATATGCAGTGACCATTAGCAATATCCCCACTGTGGGAAACAAAAATACCAGTTCCTGTTCTCTGGTTTTGACAAGACAGACTGACAAATTTCACTTTATTTCCTTTCTAAATCATATTCTCTGGACTTAGAGAATATGATTTAGGAAGGGCATTAAAGTGTGAGTTTCCTTTTCACTATATATGAGTAAATACAATTTTTTAAAAAATATGTTTTTATTGATTTTACTAGAGAGAGGAAGGGAGAGAGAGATATAGAAACATTGATGAGAGAGAAACATGCTCCCTACTGGAGATCGAGCTCAAAACCCTGGCATGTGCCCTGCCTGGGAATCAGTCCGGTGACCTCTTGTGCATGGGATAATGTTCAACCAACTGAGTCACACCAGCTGGGCAGTAAGTGCAATTTTTAAGGCAGTGGGATGACTGGACCCTCCAGGAGTCCAGGATTAAAATTTTAGATGAGTGAGAAAGACTGATATATAAATCAAGCTCTAATAGATGGCTTGTCTTGCATAATCTGAGTGAACACACCTAACTTTGGAGGTCATTATGCTATGTTTCACCCTTAATTTAAAAGTTGTAGCCTCATTCTTGGGGAGTTTGTTTTTCGTTTGTGGTATATATAGTACCTCTTTCACCCTAATCTCTAAACATAAATGGCTATTTAATATCCTCCTCTCATCAGAACTAATCATAGGGTTCTTTCTGTTCCATTTTATTTTGAGTTCATCATTTTTGGAAGCATTCTCCCCCATCCCACTGACATATCCATTCCTTTCCAGAATTTCCCCTCCTCATCCCCCCCGAAGCAACATCATTCATATTCCCACTTGAGTATTTTGATATCTTGTTGTAGGGTCCTAAAAGTAGAGCTTTTAGCAAAATGAATGAGCTGTGGTTTATTTCATGACAGGTCTTTCCAACTCATGGGTTGAAGGCCTATAGGTTTCTTGATCACATTTGATTTTTATCATCTTAGCACTGACAGTAAATCACACCATGGTCACACGTTCCTTGGATACATTTCCTTGCATCCTTTACTTGTCATATCAGAATCATGACAATCCTGCTGCTCATTAGCCTTGTCAACTTCAATAGGACCCCATGCAAAGCACATTGAATAAGCATCAAAAAGCGTAATAGGCGATGCGTGTGAAGACATCAATCATCTGTCTGTTGCACCCGCTCCTGTCATTTTGGCACTTTCCGCTCTCTCTCTCTAAGAACCAGAATACCGAAGGGGTGGACAACTGAGAGAGGCAGATGAAATGGTTGATTTGTTTAGTTGCTAAATGCAGCTGAGACAGGTAATTAAACAGCCCTGCTCCTGCAGAGAAGCCTGCAGCAATGTAATGGGAAGTCTCAGGAACCCAGCTGTACTCAGATTTAGATTCAGAACTAATATTAGGTAGGCCCCTTTCAGATTGACAGATTTTGTAAACATCATTTCTGGTTTATTTGCTCAGCATGATTAGAGATGGAGCATGTGTGTCTCACTCATGGTTTAAAGTTACTAGGGAGCATGTGGTGATTATAGATACATGCTGGGAATAGCCCAGAAGGGCAGAGACTTGTGTCTGGTGGGCAAGGGATTCCATGGTTAAGCCCCTGCTACTCCTCAGTGCTTCAACCAATTCTTGATGTCAATTATTCCATGGATGTGGGGTCAACCATGTGAATGGAGCAGGGTTGGCAGAGGGCTAGAATAGGAGATTGGAATCAGTTTTCTCCTTAATTCTTTTCTTTTTTATGGGAGACACATCCTGTATGATAAAAGGCAAATATACAAATTGTCCCCTTGGCCAGGAATTTCACCAGGGGCAGGGCTGGCTGGCCAACCTCCCGCATCCCCTCCCGCTGGCCAGCCCAGCCCAATCGGTCTGATCAGGGCAGGCTGGCTGGACGCTACCCATGCAGGAATTCGTGCATTGGGCCTCTAGTTATTAAATAAATAGCAAACATATCTCTCTCTCTCTCTCCAATGTTTTTTTTTTAATTTGTTGCATTTATTTCTATGCAGAAATTGCTACCACTACCTACTCAGTTATTGAAAACATAGCAGTTAATTCTTTTCACTTACAGGGCATCCCCCAGCAGGGTCTTTGTAGAGCTAAAATGTTCTCATCCTTCAAGTCTCACCTTAAATGTGTCCCCGACTCTGTGAAACCTACTCTGACCAACTTTCCATAATGGCCTGCACCAATTACATCCAACGTCTCGACCTCTATTAGTTCCTTCATAGCACTTGTCACAATTAGTAATTATTTATTTTTCACTTGTTTGCTAGTGAGATGTTTGCTTACTTATTTGTTTGCATGCATCTGTTTTCTCTCTTGCTTGTTTATTGTTTGTCTCCACACTAGATGTTAGTTCCATGAGGGTAGAGATTGTTTCTCTCGTTCATCCTGTAATTCCAGCTCATAATTCAAATCCATGCACATAGTTTATATCCTATAAATATATGCTAGATAGCATGCTCAAATGAGATTGTGGATGAATGGTATGCTGGTAAAACCTAGCTCTCAAAAAGGAAAAAAAAGCAGTTTTAATTTATAGCAGTTACCCATACCTGTGGTATAAACAGTGCCACCATGATAGATAGTATTCAAGCTACTCAACTGATGTCACTGAAACCACTGAGTTGGGACGGAATTCACAATTGCATTTCATTGTTTCAGGTTTCTCTGTGGGAGCAGGACTTTTATTACTCATTCCAGCTGCATTTAGCAACTGAACAAATCATCGTTTCATCTTTCTCAATTGTTCACCCCTTCAGTGGTCTCTAAGTTTTTAGAGATTATTTCTACCATACATATATAACAGATAGAAGCATTTCAAGAACATGGATAAAATATGTTAAAAATAATTAGGAAGTGGTAGATTTTGAGTACATTTATTACATTTGAGTATTTTATTACATTTATTTTAGTATTTATTTAATTTCAACTTTATATAATCTAATTTTTAATAATAGGTATATTTAACAACTAGCTTGCAAAATTCCTGAAAGTTGAATAATCTGCTATTAGGAGCAGGCTTCAGCACCCCACCAGAGATGACTTATGTATGGGCAGACCCACTGACCACTCTGCCCTAGTGTTTGGTTCATAAACAGAAGAAGAGAGTTGGCCTAGATGGGTGGGTAAATTGTAATTACAGAAACATTTCTCAGAGAATTTTTATTCACCTTTTACTACTCAAGAAGATGACATTAATGTCTCCTCCTAGCTTGGTATACAGATTTGGTACAATGACTAGACAAGAGAATAAGGTGGCAGCAGTGAGAAATAAAGAAATCAGAAAGAGGGAATAAGAACTATTTCTTAGCTCACATACTCTGAGTCTTTCATTTAGAGTGCTAGACCATCTTATTGCCAGAGGTGGCTGTCGAATGTGAGGTACTTAGTGGTCAAGAGCACTTACTTTTCAGAAAATTAGCTCAAGGCCAACAGTCATTTATGCCTATTTGAAGTCATTGAGGTCTTAGTCAGCTGAACTGCTTGCCACTTCAGATTTGTCTGTCTGTCTGTAGTGGGATGGAAATGAACCCCAGGTGGTGTCTGTCTGAGGCAAGGCCTGTGGAATTCTGGGGTCTCAGAGCAGATGACTAATGGGGGGTGACAAGCTCAGAGGTCACAGAGAATAGGGAATATGAGGGAAAGA